TACAGTGTAATCAGTGAGGGGATTCTGCAGACTGTTGAGGGTTCAGCCTCCTGATGAGTCGGTGAAACTCCGACGAAACAGTTTGTCACAGCCCCTCGTTTGTTGTCCTCTTCTCTCTCTCTGCCTACAGTTTACCGGGCAGTTCTGTTTGTGATGATATATATATATATATATATATATATATATATTAACAATGCAGTGCCACACAAAGCAAGATGAAGCAATGCCAAGTACCGGAAGACTCAAATGATGATCTGACTCAATTCAGACTCTTGACTCTGCACACGCACGCGTACATCATCGCACAGGTGGAGAGGCAAAGAAGGAAGGAGGGATGCGGCTTTATGGACTGGATCGATGAGTGGATGAGCTTGGGTCCGTGGATGGATGCATGGATGAATGATGGATGGATGAGTGATGGATGGATGGATGATTGATGGATGATTGATGGATGGATTCATCGAGGGATGCATGGATCGAAGAAAGTCGATGGAATGATGGATGGATGAGTGATGGATGGATGGATGATTGATGGATGGATTCATCGAGGGATGCATGGATCGAAGAAAGTCGATGGAGACAGGATGGAAGGGTGGATGGTTCGGATATGCCGGTGGAAACAGGTTGGAAGGGTGGATTGCTCGGATATGTCGATGGATAAGTGGATGAATTGATGTATGGAATAATGCAGAGAATCATGCCTACTTGTGGCAGCTCGTTTACTTCGAGGCTGCCGCAAGTAACGAAAAACGTTTTTGATAAATAAGGTCCTTCCTTGTATGACCACTACTTTTCATATGTATGGAGTTCTAATTTTAGACCCATTTATCAAAAACGTTTTTTGTTACTTGGTGGCAGATCATTTTCGAGGCTGCCACAAGTAACGAAAAACATTTTTGATAAATAAGGTCCTTTTATGACCGCTACTTTTCATATGTACGGAGTTCAAATTTTAGACCCATTTGTCAAAAACGTTTTTTGTTGCTTGTGGCAGATCGTTTACTTCCAGGGTGGATTGGATTATCAACATGTGGAAGGACCTTATGTATTCATTGGGCAAATGGCATCAGTTCTGTTTTTGGCCCCTTGTACTCCACGGATGGAAGGATGGGTGGTGGCACGGGATGGATAGGTGGGTGGGTTGTACGGCATATGGATCAATGGGTTGGATCAATGGGCTGGAGGACATCAATCGATGGGCTGTACGGCATGGATCGATGGGTTGTACGACATTAATAGATGGGCTGTACGGCATGGATCGATGGGTTGTACGGCGTGGATCGATGGGTTGTACGGCAAGGATTGATGGGTTGTACGACATGAATCGATGGAATGTACGGCAGGAATCGATGGGTTGTACGATATCAATCGATGGACTGTACGGCATGATGAATCGATGGGCTGTACGGCATCCATCGATATCGATGGGCTGTATGGCATGATGAATCGATGGGCTGTATGGCATGAATCAGTTGCTGGATGAGTTTTGGTCGATGGTTGTATAAAATGGAGCAATGAACGGATGAAATGGAACGAGGTAAGGATTCGATCGGCCGACGGATGGAGTTGGTCAGAGGATGAAAGACGAGGGAGTATCGTATACGTTATGGAAAGTCGTGAGAGTTTTGTTTGTAGTGGGATGAACTGTCTGCTGATGGACCAAGAAACGGAT